CCGTAGTAAGATTCAGAAGTTGTTAATCTTGTCTCCACATCCAGGCCTCACTCAATTCTCCTGACACCTGACACTAGTTACCAGCCTCTTCCCAGCTTTTCGATTTACCTATACCCACGATCTACAACCTCTTATCAACTCACCCCGACCACCCGCTACAACTGTTCCGGAAAGAGAACCTATCTCACGTTCATAACTTAATAAACCTGACCAGATCACTGCCCCACCCTAAAAGAGAAGTCAAGACACCAATCCAGCCATTCATTAGCTCCATAGAATCCCAGATCCTATCACAGTCAGCCAAGAGACTGTCACAATGTACATAACCCAATCACTCCCCCTCCTCAATCTCCGTCCACCCCCTAACCTCCCCAAAATCCATAACGCGATACTCGCCCCCAAACCGATTGAGGGTATCCTCCCAGTCGCGATCCACCGCCAATTCGGGCCTCCACCTCACCGTCCGCGCCAACCTCTCCTCCAACCGTCCCTCCAACCGATCCACAATAAACCCGCCAATGGACGGGATATGCGCGAACCCTCGCCCGGACGCGCCCACCGCACACAGCAAAGACGAATAGTCGGGATGATAATCGATCAAGAAATTGCGGTCGACGGTGTCGGCGCACCAGCAGATGCGGGCGAAGGCGAGCGGGCGGTCCGCCAGCTGGGGTAGGGTGGCGCGCAGCAGGGCGCGGATGCGCGCCTCAGACTCTAACGGGATCTGGTGGCGGGCGAAGGGGACGCTTCGCCTCTCGCTGTGGGGCTTGTCGTCCGGGTTGTCGTAGACCCAGTTGCAGTAGCCGGGATGCTCGTCGCAGATCTTGAGGTCGTGGTGCTCGGCGTCGGGCTCCATGAAGAAGCCCTGGTCGGCGTTGAAGAGGACCGGGAGGTGGCGGTAGGCGGCGGCCTCGGTGGGGGACAGGCGGATGTGCGCGAGCGTCCACGCTGTCGGGCGGAGCTGTTTCTTGAAGTCCAAAAGTTGGTCCGCGTTGGCGCCGGCGGCGAGGATCACTTTGGCCGCGTGGTGGGAAGTGCCGTCGGCGGTTGCGACGCCGATGACGTCTCCTGCGCTGTGGGAGTGGTCGGATGCAGAGGAAAAGAGTAGCCGCACGACTTTGCCTTGCGGATCGCCGCCGATGAATCGCACGCCTAGGCGCTGGGCCTCGGTGATGGCCGCGAGTAGGGCGTTGCGCGCGTGCACCCAGCCCGCGCCTTTCTTCTTCCAGTACCCCTTCCACCCTGGGAGAGGGCCGATGAGGATCCCTGTGGGGAATGCTTGTCGGAAATCGTCCGGCGTGTTCAGTTCGACTACCTCGTCTCCGGGGCGGTCACGGCGATGGATATGCTTGAGGCCGTCCGGGGAGAAGGCGGAGGTGATGGATCCGGTCTCGTGGAAGTGTGGTTTGAAGATCGGGTCGTGCTGGAAGCCGTGGCTCAGCGCGGCGAAGAAGGTCCGATTGGCGTAGTCCGGGTCGTCGTCGGCTGGAGGTTTCACTGGATAAGACCTCGTTAGGTTGGGGATCAAGCAGACACTCTTAGGGAAGAAAGTAATGAAACATACTGAAAGAGACAATCTTGTTCACATCGTTCCCCGCCGAGATAGCAGATGGCTGGGGATACGCATCCAGAACCGTGACATTAGTATATCCTCGGCGCGCCAAGTGCAGCGCAGTCGAAGCACCCCACGTTCCGGCCCCGACTATCAGAATATGCGAGTCATGCATACTGTTGTCGCCCCTGTTGTCGCTCCTATTGTTGTGGTCCATCGCAGGTAAGGGATCGATGTCAATATGAACCGACACAGAGGGACCTGTTGTCTCGTGGATAAGGTGTGGAGCACGCATTTCCTGGATCCTTGCAGCCACTAACTATCTCAAGAACCCAAACTAAAACTCTCGTATGTGGCCTGTCAAGGACCTTATATTCGATTCCTGTAGCTTGTTGTAGCTGATACATGAACCGCCGGGCCTCCGAGGACGGACAACCCTTAGGAGGGGCCGCGATAAGGGACCAAATCACATCATTATTGGATCCAATTTCGAGCCCCCCTGTAGTGGCACTAGACTAGGCGATGATAAGGCAAGCTTGCTCCACTCTTGCAACAAGCTTCGCTTGGACCTGCCATTGTTCGGTCGATCTGGGGTAGACCTCATCGCTTCACCGTACTGTACATTGACACTAGAAGAGCAGTCGATGACTTGGCGAGGTGGCCATTAGCAGCCATTCTCATTTATTTCTGATAGATTCCACAAGTCAAATACCTCATCGAGAAATCCACGACCACAAGAGGGCTCACAACATTATGCTCAGCTTCAGTCCAGCCAACATACAATCTCTCCCAAGCAGAATCGATCAAAGAACAGCCCCAGCACGCAAAATAAGAACACGGGCACAGCTCGGCTATCCAAACAGACTGCTGAAATATTGGGGCACACACATATAAGCATCCAGATATCCCTTTGCAAACTCACATCCGAGCAGTCTGATCAACCTCATTATACATAGATCATATGAAACCGCCAAGCAAAGCAGAACAACGCAGATCCGAGTAAAGCAGAGGATTAAGATATAACAGATAATTCAGAGCATGCTCCCAGGCTCGCGAGGCCAATCCTTTCCAGTTTCAGATCGTTATTCAAATCCTCGACGAGTAAGTGGCTTGTTTTGCCTTTTCAACCTTTTTTTATAGATTTTCTTTGCCGATATGTGTGTGGGCGCTTCTTCTCCGCCAAGTTCGCCGCGCGTAACCCAGTAAACGAAATTCGAGATCAGGACACAGCCAGTAAAGCCATCGACACAAACCCATGACGCCACAGGTATGCCGGACATCACTGCAGCAACAACATCAAACTTATTAGCAAAAGTTACACTCCTCAATTCCCATCGACAAATCAAGCAAAGCTTACCTCGGCCCCCGCAAACCTCCCCTCCAGATCATCCACATGATTACACAGCGCGACAAACAAATCGAAAAAGAAGGGATGGCCCCTCTCCATCTCCAACTGCATGGTGCCGCTGGCCTTGAAGACCGCCCGCGACCGGATAATCATGGCCAGATACCGCGCGCGCAGCTGATCCTCCGACTCGGGCGTATGCTCGTATGCGAACCGCGCGGACCGCAGGATCACGTCCACCGCAATCCCGGTTCGGAGGCCCTGTTTGCGCAGGGCGAGGTGCTTGAGGGCCTCGGGGAGGCCGTAGTGCTCGGCGGCGCAGTAGATGGCCGTATCCCGGAGGATGAGGCCTGCCCGGTGATGATAGAAGGTGGCAGTGGGGGAGGTGTTAGGTCCGGCGGGACTACCGTCCTTGCTGGGATGAGAGTGAACTGACTTGGTAGCTAGAACATCCTCGGCGTTCTGCTGCATCTCACTTTCGTTGTCAGCTTCTTCCTCAAGGCGCCATGTAGGTGCCTCGAGACCGTCCCCACGTAGAAGACGCGGGTAGTAGTCGCCTTTGTAGAGAAACTCGAGGATGCAGGAAAGAATTTCTGGGTCCCTGTCTCTTCTAGTCAGCCTCTCAGACACCCTGGAGGCAAGACCCCTAAGTGGTGCAAAAAGGCGATACTTACTCATCAGGCAGCGCCACCACTTTATTCAAGTTGCTCTCGATGAACTGATCTCGGAGCATAGCATCGAAGAAAGTAGCCCGGGAGAGTACATCTTCATGCGCGACGAAGAGGCGATGATCCGGGCCCACGATCAAGCTAACCACGGGGCTCACGAGGGGGCTGGGGGGTTGCAGAATACATTAGCTTCCATGGCCCGGACATGCAAGGAGACATTGGCATGCGAAAGCATACGCACAAAGCTCAAGCAAAGCAAGAATAGAAGACAAAGACAGCCCGCAGGAATGACCAGATAAATGCAGATAAACACCTACCTAGTAAGAGGCGGCTCCTTCATGGTCGACTCCTCTTCCTTCTTCTCTTCATCCTTCCCTTTCCCACCCTTCATTGACTTCGCCTTAAACCCTACCTTCTTGGTAATGGACGATCGGACAGGCTTCTTGACCCGGCGGTTCTGAGCTAGCAAAGACGCAGAGCGTCTTCTACCGGCCCTTCCAGCCATCGTGCTTCTGCCGCCCGGATCCATCCACTGGACCAGGAACGAGACGATAGACATTCAGGTGTGGAATGAAGAGAGAAGAGAGAAAGCAAGAGAATTAAGTGACCAGAAGAGGGTGCAGAAAGCGAATGACTGTGGATCAAAACGCAGGAAAGGACAGGAATGACGCTGCCACCGTTTGGTCATGCATAGGGTCGCATGAACGGGGGGAGGAGTCTCGGAAGCTGATCATGCAAGACTACAGGTTCCCTTTCCGCAGACACCGGGCTTCATCAGACGGAGACCCAGCGGGAGGCTTGCAAAGGAACTTGCAATCTTACGCTATCTAGCTTGCACTTGCGGTCATCTACGGTGAAGTAGAGACACTATAGCGGAACGGTCGACTCTGGGAAGCGCGGAGAAGAAAGAGAGAGAAGAGCAGAGAAGAGAAACAGGAATTAAGAGATGAAGGTGTGATGGTGGTGGAGGTGGTGGAGGTGGGGATCATGTGATGGTGAGCGGCTGATCGATCAATCATTCGTGCTTGATTTTCGGCTACTGCAGTGTATTTATCGTAGCAGTACTTCCAGGCTACAATCAGACTCGGTAGCCCAGGCAGGAATAAAAGCCCCCAAGACGTTATACGTACAACCTAAGATATAGACTGATGATCATGAACAACAATCATGAGCAGCTTCTTGCCACACAACATAAAGAAGCACGCCCTCTGAGCACATCGCTCCACGCCATAAAATAGGAAAAGAAATGCAAGCATGCAGATAAAGTAGGCCCCAGATACACGACATGAAACAGGATGATCGCTACCGGACATACCATGACAGAACAACAGTAACAACACTATTAGCAGATCATAGACAGTGAGAGAATGTACCTGAGGTGGGAAGATGCTTCGACGAAGACAGCAACGTCCTGGTGAATACGCGAGCATCAAGATCAAGCAGCCTTCTTCTTCCGGCCCCGCTTAGGCTTCTCCTCATCGTCAGCAGTAGCAGCAGCGGCCTTGGTCGGCTTCTTCGCGGCCTTCTTCTTAGCGGCAGCAGGCTCCTCGTCGGCTTCCTCGACAGCGGCCTTGGATTTGGCTGGACGACCGCGCTTGGAAGTCTTCGGCTTGACCTCCTCTTCCTCGTCTTCATCAGATACAGGCTTAGGTTGAGCGCTCTTCCTGGATCGCTTAGGCTTGGGTGCTTCTTCTTCGTGCTCCTGCTGCTCACCGTCAGCCTCAGCCTCAACCTTAGGGTCTTTCTTGGGCTGAGCACGACTGCGCTTCTTGCTCTTGGGGGTAGGCTCCGCCTCATCCTCCTCGTCAGCTTTGGCCTGAGCCTTCTTCTGTCCATTTATGTCAGTTTCAAGTCTGAAGCAAAGCCAGGTATTTAGTCAGAGAATCTTACCTTAGCCGCAGCCTCCTTTTTAGTGGCCTTCGAACGGAAGCCATTCATACCAGGACGGTTGACTTCAACATCCTAATCATCGAGACGGATTAGAATTGCTCATTGACCCACGAGCAAGCAAACAGCACCAACCCCAACCAACCCCCATCGACACCAAGAAAAAGAAAGAGAAAAACTTACCCCCTTCCAATCCTCATCATCAACATGCCCCTGCTCCAACGCCCGACGAACCTTGTCTTGATTCTCCTCAGAAAGCTCATCAAAGCCATCGAGAGCCGAGCAATCCGTCTCATCCCCACCACTTATGTCCTTGATAGCATCCTTCAGATTCTGGATGACATTCGGCGTGACACAGCCCCTGAATGTGGGGGGGGGGGAGGTACATCAGATACTGAAAGGGTTCTCATGACACACGATACACAAAAAAGAAGGCTCAAAATGCCCGCTGCTTGCAGATGGCCAGGGAGAAAAACTTACCAGTGACGCCATTTCCAGCTCTGGTAATCACCTGCTTCGACCCAGCTGCCGTGACGGAGCTCCCCCTTGGCGATCTTGATTTTGGCGTCCTTGCATTCCTTGTTCTGGCAGCCGGCACGGCTGCTGCTCGCCTCCTCTGGGGGAATAGGTTAGTTCAGAGCTCAATAAATCAGAGGTGCATAGTTCGTCGACTAGCATGCTTGTGCTAGTAGTGCAGACAACTGAAGGAAACCCAGTGTAAAATATTATAGGAGAATCCAAAAGAAAAAAAAAGATCTCTAGGAATCTGGTGAAGTGGATAATGTGACAGTTGGCAGGACAGCAGCGAGCAGCTCGGCAGAACAAATATTGAAGACTCGTAGACAACAAATCCCTATCAACGGCCCATATTTCACATATCGATACAGATTTATGTCTGGAGACAATCGGATGTACACAACAACACTGTACTTCGAAGGCAGAAAAGGATCGATGGAACGGAACTTACCCAAACGATATGCGCCCATTTTTGCCGGACTGCAATGACGACGGTGCTACGTGCGGCAAGTTTCTTGGGTTCTGACACAAACACCTGACTTCACTGGGTTTGAGAAAGCAGGTCAATCACTCAAGACTGTTGAGAAAGTTCGAAGACACACCAACAGTAGGTGGGCGATGGAAAAGAAAGAAAAGAAATAAAAAGAATTGACAGCGAGGTTTAAAACAGAAGAGGAAACAATCGGAGGTGGTCTGAGAGAGGAAGGAAAACGAGCGTGAGTGGGAAAGGGAGTGCGGGCGAGCCAACAGCCCAACGGAACCCGCCAAAGACCATTGCCGCAGGGCTCCTCGCCGCCCTTTTGCTACGACGCTCATGGCTGGTAATGATCGTTGTTGAATTTTGGTTTGCTCTAGATGACAGACTGACACGGGCTCTTCAATTCTTTTTATTATGGAGCCACTTGGAATCCTGAGGTTGGTGGTTATTATCAATACTACATCTTCAATTCCTGCGGTCGCTGCGGTCGGTTCTTCGAGAATACTTCGAAATCATCGGTCTTCCTGCAGAAGGCTGAAGAACAGTCGAGAACTCTTACAGGCATCATCTACCTAGTATAGACGCTCCCAAAGTAGCAGTTCAATTCCTAGATATCATTGCTCATCAGATGTCGCCTATCGCTGCCTATCCCACCCATTGTTGCCTAAAAAATCAACCATGAGCACGGGCTTGACTCGTACATACATCAGATTTCACCAACAACAAATATCACTGAGAACATGAGAACCTGAGAACCTGAGAGCCTATCCCAGCCGGGTCTCCACAAATATGAGGTGCTCTCACAGATCATAGTTCAGGCTCATGTCCACAACGATCCCGAAGCGCTTCAAGCCAGATGGTATGAAGTTTCTCCAAATCGGCGATGTGCTTCTGAAGCATGACCACTGCCCCAAGGCTGAGCCGCGACATGTATGCAGAAGCGTCTCCGACAGCTGACTCTTGGCCCGCGGAGGTGCGGTGGTGATGCTCAATCATTGCCAGCGCATCATCGATGGCTCGACGGATCAGATGAGGACGATTCATGCTCAGCGCGGTCGCGGTCGTGGGCGCGGGGAAATATAGCCACGAGGTAACATCATCGAAGCCAGACACCTCATTTGCCAGAGCATGTATCATCAACTTCCGCGTCAGTAGGAATGCTCGCTCGGTGTATTGAATCGAGTCAATCCGCTTCTCCTCGTCTGTAGCAAGGGTTTCGAAGCCAGGCTCATCTGCAGGAGTTAGTGCTTAGCAACGGGGCTTTTCAGGTCTGAAGGGACTGCCTTACTGTAAAACGGACGTTTGACCAGGACCAAACCCATGATGGAAACCATGATCTGGAGAAGCGTAGACTTGGACGAAGACCAAACCTCATTTGGGTTCTGTGCAGGCCATGTGCCCAACAGACTAAGGCAAACCTGGCCGTCAAGGTGCAGATTAGGATTGATTTCTGCCTCGGTGACGGACCAGTAGTGAAAGAAAGCAGCCGGGGGCTTGCTTGGGAATTGATCCGTGAGGTGGAAATCGATCACAAAAGGCGCATGCTCGTACGGAGTGCCCGCAGGCCCAACAATCAGAGTCCTGATGAGATCCACGCGTGACTCCCATGAACGGACATAGATGCCAGCAGGAAGAGATGTATTGAGGACCCTCCATTCCTTTTGTATGCGCTTGATACTCAAGCTGGAATCCCCCGCGGGCTCACTCGAGATGAAATGATGATCAGAGGGAGGGGGTCCTTCGAGTACGAGGAACGCTGGAGGAGCCGATGATCCGGAGGGTTCTGTTCCACTCATTTCCATGTCTCCTTCAGCATCTGCCATTGTGACGTGATAATACGGGAAGTCCTCAATGTGTTCCAGTGCATCTTTCGAAGTGTGTGTAGGCCCTGCCTCTTCCCTATGGGATACTCCGTGGCAGTTGGCATCATCATCGTCATCAGTGTCTTCATTATCGGTATCATCTGTGTCGAGATCTTCAGACTCGTCGTTCGGAGCCAACTCATTAAGAGGCATTTCTTCACATTCACAAGGATATGACAACAAGATTCTCTCCGTTGGCATCTCAATATCCACACATGAATCTCCGTGAGTCAACCGCACCGTGACGGTACCATCGGTGTTGGGTTTCATGATCATCCCGACAAAGTTCGCATTTAACCTTGCGCAGAAGTCTTCGTAGTGAATACTGAGGCGTGTAGGTGCCGGAGAGTTGTCGACTACGATTGTGCTCTTGAACCATGCAGTACGAACGACGTCTCTCTTCGATTTCTCGAGGTAGCTCCGTATAGCATCGAAGTGCTTGGAAGGTGCATGGCTCGAATGATCGGCGCCATTGCCAGACGCAGGGCTTACCCGGAGAGCTTGCAACACAGATGCGTGTATCGTGCTCGGTATAATATGCACAAGTTTCCCTGGTGACCTACGCAGGGCAGGGAAAGAGGCGAGCTCGTAGAGCGAGACTGGAGTTCTCTTGGTGTTCAAGGTTCCCAGTCGAGTGTATTCGTGGTTTAGACAGTATCCGTGTAGCGGGAGCTCAACAGTAGCGTCGTCGTACCATCGAACATATGCTACTCGCTCTCGACTATCCACCTCTTGAACCACGCCCACTTCGTGTGAATGAAGCGACAAGCATGACGAACATCTATTATCACCTCCGGTCGAAGGAATTGCCTGAACCGAGTCTTTGAGAACAGTCAAATCTCCAGGAAAGACCTCTTCCGCGGGATAGGGATTGGGTGTATGCAGAGATATTGCGTTCTCTATGGTAACCTTCCCGTTTTGCCACTGAACTGTCGTGTCTGTCTTGGATGAGACAATTCGAAAGACATTCAGATCATACCCATACGAATATTCAACTGGGACGTGACGATAATGAGGGTATTTTGCAGCCGCTCCAACCGTGTCACGGAAGCGCACTACACTTCCCAGTTTAATCAAGCATCTAGGCCTCAGCTGAAGCTCCTCCTCACTAGACTTGTTCGTCGGGGCCCGACCGAAGTCACACTTGACCGCATACTTCTTGAACAAAGATGCTCTGATTATCTCCGTCCCCCCAGTGACTGTGGTTTTGTCTATGCCAATCCCGAACGCATTTGGCATCACCCACTTGACATGGTACTGTGAAGCTGGTGTAGCCAACGTGCAGACATGCTGACGACCACGAGTTGGGTTCTTGGTACGAGCACCATAGACTTCGCACATGTTCGCGGCATCGACCAAGGCAGCTCGGCCAGGATAGACTTGACCAGGGTCCTTGTATACTATCTCGGCTCCGGCAACCTCCGACTGTTTAGTGATCTCTCCACCGCGTGGCATCCACACCAGCCTTGCTGGGTCGACCCAAGTTGGACATTCGACGTTCAATGGATTGTAGAGGGTGACGACCTCGCTTTGCCTCGTCAAAAACACAGGATCTCGATCAACATGCCGGATGACCCCAAGCTTCTGCTGATATATGATATGGTCTCCCACAGCGAATGGCTCATGAGACTCGATGTCGGAGACGACAACATCATGTAGCAAGTTAGATTGTAGTTCGTCCATCGGTGGCATTATGTTAGAGCTGAGACACTTCGGCTTATCCTTGAATCTAAGCGGACCATGTTCCCCTGTTAGTGAGTTGCTGGGGAGAGACGCGACAGGCTCCAGGGTGTATTTAGTCCGGCAACTTAGTACCCTGCCACACATGGCATCGTGTGCTTGGTATTTGACGATATCACCAATGTGGCATTCTCTGTCGATGAGTTGAAGCTCATTTTCAGGAATCAGCGAGTAGCCCTGCGATCTATCCACGAACCGGACAAAGACATATCCTTGCGGGGCCTGTTGAGGAGCAAAAGAGACCTTAGTAAACACGCAGAAGAGGTCCCTGAGCTTTGTTACGTACGTCCTCTGTCTGCAGGAATTTCTCCAAAATTCCCGCGGGTGTCGATGGATGAGAAAGGATGAGGTATTCGTCCAGCGGGTAAACTAGGGGCTTGTATGCAGCATAGGTCAGTCACACCAGAGCTCTGTGTTCTGGAGAGGGGGAAGAGAAGAGTACATCATCATGAGTACCCTGCATCTAATCAGTATCTGAGAGAAGGTTTGCTACAAGAGACCTGGTAAGCATACCTCAACAGAGCACACGCGAGACGGATTTGAGACCAGACAACATATATCATCTGGTTCGAACTGCTGAACATGAGCTTTGAATTATAGAAAGAGTAGTAGACGATCTCTGCCTCAGCTCACTGAACTTACGTGGGCCTTCGTATTTCTTTGTGCCTCAGCAGTCGCCGCCATGGTTAGAAACGAGGATACACGACTTGCACAAGCGTTTGAATCCGCAGTGAGCAAGTATTTGGGAAAGCCAGATCCAAGTGATAGTGGGAAGGAGAGAGAAGGGAGTAGATTCTGTGAGGTGCGAGGGTAGTAGTTTGCTGACGAGAGGAGGAGGAAGAAGAAGAAGAGGAGGAAGAGAAATAGCGTCAGAGGTATGGGATCACCCGTCAGGTTGAGGGGAAGTGAAAGAAGCTCCTTGGAGCCTTGAGGCGGCTCTGCCGTTCACCTCAGGGAGTGAATGAAGAGCTCAGGGCCAGAGACCGATCAAAGAGGGCCGACGCACTTCACGACCTCCTACAAGCCGTGTGTGATTACATGCCAGAAAGACCAGCCAGCCCCGCCGGGAAGAGGAAGTATAGATAATGAACAGGGAGGGAGGGGTTTGTCACTTTTCTCAACAACACCTCCAAAGGGATTAGGCAAGAACAGGCCCCATCGGCCATTGTGCACTGTTTTTCCCCTTCAGTCTTGAGCTATAGAAAAGAATTGTCGTGGACTATAAAGTTGTCAGCCTGTCATACCGCGGACGATAGCAGTATATACTTCAAGTCGCCCAACCTCGGATAAACTTCCCTACATTAAAGGCAGTCTTGGCACAGCCACCCACTTCCCCTTCCCAAAGCTTCCAGAACAACCACCGGCACCGCCGATCATCAAACCCTCCAACAATCCTACACCTACACTTTCCACCCATCACCAACCTAGACCTCAACTCCTCCTCCTCACAAAACCACCACAACCACTACCACCAAAAAACAACCCCTCCCGAAAATGTCCGAACCCATCCCCGAATCGATCCCCACAAGCGCCGACCCGCGCAGCAAACGGCCCCTCAAGCGACGCGCCCTGAACACCCCGCAAACCGCACAATCCGAACAAGCCTCGCAGATCGAGACGCTGATGCGGGACCCGACGCGCGAGATCCATCTGCCCACCCAACGACCCCCGCGCACGGCGGGGTCGCTGCCGCCGCCGCCGGAGATCGTCGCCAACGTGCAGGGGTCGTCGGCCGGCGCGGGCTCCGGCGAGTTCCACGTCTACAAGGCCAGCCGGCGGCGCGAGTACGAGCGGATCCGGCTGATGCAGAACGAGGTGATCCAGGAGCAGGAGGACGAGGCGTGGGCGCGGAAGCAGGCCGACACCAAGCGGCGGGACGAGGAGCGGACAGAGAAGAACCGGCGGCGGAGGGAGAAGAAGCGCGCTAATGCGAGGAAGGAAACCACTCATCAGGCCGGTGGTGGGGAGGGGAAGGATGGAGCTGCTGGGGATCGGATGGTGGTTGATCGGGCGGATGAGACGGCGGCGGCGGCTGGGGATGGTATCGTTGCTGGGGCGGAGGTTTGCAATGGCAATGGCAATGGCGAGGCTGGTGGGGAGGTGCAGGGGATCATTATCCATGATGATTGAATTGCATTGGATTAGATTGGGGGGGAGGTAATGGCTGGAAAGTGCTATGGCCACCATTGCACAACATGTGGAAAAAGACGCGGTAGGATTACAATGTACGATATGAAGATACCCATTATTTTGAAAGTCTAGGATGTTCTTACAGAATGTCCGTTACCGAAAAGTCATCGTGCAGAATTATGTACGCAATTTTTACTATCTTTGATATCTCTCGCTCAATTTACTCGTCGCCGCCACCGGCTCCGACACCCACTTGCTGGGCCGACTTACCGCTGCAGATGTCGTCAACACGGAGGAGCAGGCATGCGGACTAGTTTCTCTGGTTAGCTTGGGGGACAATCTGACATTGACAGCGCGGGCACTCACCTCAACAGCAGTCTTGATGCTCTGAAGCTTGACAGCTTCGGGCTCCCAGACTCCGTACTCCTTCATATCAACCAAAGCTCCGGAGTCGCCGTCCAGACCCCAGGTGGTGTGGCCCTCGACGTGCTTGGCTCTCATACGAGTGAGAACACGGATGGGGCTGGCACCGGCGTTCTGTGCTAATGTGCGGGGGATGACCTCCATGGCGTCGGCGACAGCCTTGTAGGGCCACTGCTGGACGCCCTCGATCGACTTGGCCAGCTGGCTCAATCGGACAGAGACGGCCATCTCAATGGCACCACCGCCGGGGGAAAGGCGGGGGTGGAAGATAACATTCCGGGCCACGGCCATGGCATCCTGGAGGTTACGCTCTATCTCGTTCAGGATATCCTTCGAGGGACCGCGGAGGAGGATCGTGCAGGCCTTGGGGCTCTGGCACTTTCTCATGAAGGTGAAGTACTCGTCGCCAATCTTCTCGATCTCGAACAGACCACACTGGGTTCCGACGTCGGACTCCTGGAGGTCGTCCACGCGGTTGACAATGGTGGCGCCCGTGGCTCTGGCGATACGGTTGTTGTCCGTCTTTCTGACACGGCGGAGAGCCGTGACATTGGCCTTCATCAGGAAGTGCTGAGCGAGATCTGAACACAGGAATTAGCTATATGCAAACCCAACATCTCAGCGCTTGGTTCCTACCCGAGACACCCTTCTCGGTGATGACAACGTCGGGCTTCAGAGCCAAGATGGCATCACACATGTGCTTAACCTGCTCCTCCTCGATCTGCAAGATACGGTTCCAGTCATCCTCCTTGGTGATCTCGATGTTCGTCTGCGATTCGCCCTTCTTGTACTCCAACGGGCAGTCGAGCAAGATGATGCGGGGGTTCTCGATTCTTCTCCGCATCTTCGGGTGCGTGATATCCTTGTTGACCATGACACCGTCGATAACCTCACTGTCCTCAATCTGACCACCGGGGATCTTCTCGATACGAGCGTAGCGCTTGATGTCAACCTCACGCTTGCCACCGCCAGCGTCGAAGGACACAGTCCGGACCGCCTTCAGGGCGAGGCTGCACATAAGCTCCGACCACCGAGAGACGAACTTGGTTCCGATGGAGGACTGGATGAGGGTGTACATGGCCTTGTCGTCGTCGATGTCGACGGGTATCGAGACCTCCTCGACGATGGCGAGGGCGTCAGCCAAAGCACGCTTGAAGGCGGAGATGATGACAACGGGGTGGATGTTGCGTTCGAGTTGGGGAAGGGCCTGTGCGAGCATTTCACCGGCTGGTACATGTTAGCAGGCTTGCTTCGGCAATCAGGAAAGCCCCGAAGCAGCAATGCATGCATACCAAGAATAATGACGGTCGTCGTTCCATCTCCGACCTCCTCGTCCTGAGTGCGGCTCAATTCGATCATGCTCTTCGCGGCGGGGTGCGACACCTCAATTTCTCTCAGGATAGCGTGTCCGTCGTTCGTCAGGACAATACCGCCCATTGGATCCAGCAGCATTTTCAGCATAGCCTTGGGTCCGAGACATGACCGGATAATATCCGCAACGCTGCAGTTGACAATCCTGTATTAGAGACCGGAGCGGGGAGGCGGGGGTTGGGAAGGGTTTGACGTACGTCTTCGCAGCGGCAATGTTGGACAGCTGAGCTTTACGACCAACCTGTCTGTCACCAGCGTTGGTGTCTATAAACAAGTCAGCATTCTGAGGCCAAGCACAGGCAAAACCTCCCCCCTCAAAGCAACATACTCATCACCACCACCGGAGCCTGCATTTTGGCGGTGGTTCTTTGGCGTGTGTAGGAGAGGAGGGGATAAGATAAACGATATTAAGATAATCCTGCGGAAGGAAGCAGAATCTGAGCAGCAAACAGCCAAAAGAAGAGGCCGGTTCGTAGGATGGGGAACTTAAGGTGTTGTGCCCGCCGTCACCATCAAATTTCCAGCGCACCCCGAAGTGGGATGGCGGACAAGAAGCTCACCGCCAACTAGCCTGGATTGGGTTTAGTGCCACCCTTCCCCTGATCTATCAGTTCTACCACTGGAATTCCCGACCGCCTCAATATCATCTTCTACTTGGTTATAACGTTATACACATACTAATCTCTATATAACGAACTGCACACATCGCAGCAACTGCAATGGCTGATCTCTCAACAACGAATATCCCAATCCAACCCATAGAAGAATATAATAAACACCCGTCAAGCTCAAAAAGTGGTATACCGCAAAAACGCCAGCACAATCAGAGGCCCATCCCGATTTTATCTCTTCAACAGCCTCCCCATTCTTCGGATACTCCTCTTCACCCTACAGCGCATGAAATTTATGACCGACCGGCTCTTCTTCCGTGGATCATAGGATTGAGCCGCGCCCCTGCCATCCCCGCGCCGCCGTTCTCTACTACTACTCCCCGTGTCTGTCTCATACAAAGGTCGGCCTCTTTCCTCCAGCCGCGGTCCATGCCCATAATGCATACTGTAAAACCGCCTCGAGCTGACAGGTGAGCGATCCACATCCCTTTCAAAAACCGCCACATCATTATGATGACGATGAAGAGGCGGGGATATTTCCAGTCCCGGTTCACCATCATCTCCGAACCAAGTACTGTTTCCCCCCATGGCGGCGGCGGCGGCAGCGGCAGCGGCAGCAGCAGCATCAGCAGCAGCCTGAATATCATTGTGCCGGTTGACCGACCACTGCTGCTGCTGCGAGCGCCAACTTCCATCCTGCTGGTAGGTGTTTCCCTGGGCCTGTCGCAGATGGTAGTGGGCCTCACTCATCTCCTGGTCCGCCGATAGCCGGGCCATCATGTTCTTGAACCAGGTCTCGGCATAGTCGCTGTGGTAGACGGGGGGCCTGCAGAGCCGGAGCTCGTTGTGGGCGCTCTGCTGCTGCTGGAACCGGTGGACGCGCTCCAGCTGCAACTCGCGCATGGTGTCTTGGAGGTGCACGGGCAGCTGCGCCAGGGCGGCTTCGTCCAGGTCGTAGAGGACCTCGTCTTCGTCGTCGGTGGAGTAGCCGCGGGAACCGCCCCAGGGCTTCGGTCGGGGCCCGGTCCAGGAGTACTGCCTGCTGCTGTTGCTGCTGCTGCTGCTGCTTCGGCGTCGTCGTCGGGGGTAGGCATGACCCACAGGCCCTACGGGCGGAAGCATGCTGGACGAGGACATGATGATCCGCCA